GAAGGATGGAGGTGTCAAGCAGGCGTTTGTAACCGGGGTCTCAGGAAGAGTGAGGTAGGAAGGTTAGCCAGGTTCATTTTGGAATTATCATCAGAGTGGTGAGAACTGAATCTGTGGGAATGAAGGCAGCTGCTCAGCGAGAATCTACACGGTGGGTGTCAGGGGGCGAGGGGGATAGAGGCAGAATCAGCCGGAAGTGGCAGTGTCAGAAGCCCGGGGCAAGAGGCCAGTGGGTGGTGTGGAAATAGAGCTGGTAGGGATGAGCCGCTCTTCTTAAGGTAGGAAATGTGGGACCTAGAGGAAGGAGGAGGGTGGAGGGGAGGTCTTTGTTTTCTCTGATGGACCGGAGTCAAGTGCATGGGGTCGTCCTGCCACCTGAGCCTTATATGAAACTCCCTATCCACAGGAATTACCGTTTTCCAGCATGTCCATTAGTACAACTTGTTACTCAGATCATATTGGTTTGCTATGTCCTCTTGCTCTTGACCATCTGGACCACTGGTCCTTCCCCAGACTTGGCTAATCCTTTAGTCTCAGTTATACCCCCAGCGTATCGCCATGCAGGTGTTGGCTCTCCCCTTGTCCATGCTGTGGGCTCTCAAAGAACTGTGCACCTGAACCTATGCATTTACAGTGTAGGTGGTGGGTGGGGGGAGGCAACTGCCAAGGGACTTCAAGATGCAGCCGACAGAGGGGTAGTTGATGGCACAGGATCTCCGAGAAGCAAGCAGGAACGAGCTCTGTTGTATGGGACTGACTCACTCAAGAAACACGTCTTCCCCAGAGATAACATTAAAAAGAGCTAATAACACTATGAAAAAAAAAATCCCTAAAATATGTCAGGCAGGCTCTTCACTAAGGGTTTTGCTTATGTTACTGTACTTACTACTCAATACCAGCCCCACACAGAGGCCCTAAGACCATCCCCGTTTGCAGATGCAAAAACTGAGACTGGAGCAGGTCACACAGGTGATGAGTGACAGAGCTGGGGCTGTAATTATGGCCTGACTCCAAGTTCATGCCCTTGTGGTCTGTCCTCAGGAAGTGTGGTCAGTGAGGACAGCGAGTCTGAATTGTGGGGAGCAGAAGTGGAGGAGCTCATGTTGAGTGTCTCAAGGTCATAAAGGAGAGGAAGTGAGGTCATCTCTAGAGATGGGACTTGGGGGGTTTAGTCATCTTCACAGAATTTAACGGGAGTAGAACAGGGTTGGAATGGCCACTGTGGGATAGTCAAGGGAGTCGACAGCATGACTAAAAGGAATTCTGGACAGCAGCAGGGGCCCAGCTGGGGCTGCATAATGTGCAGTTTGTAGTGGAACCAATGAAGGCATTTTTATGAGTTTTTCCAGCAACCTTTCACCGCCTGCACACATAAGACCACAGAAGAGATGTTTTTGCTCACTCCTTAGGACTCAACACTTGATTACAAGCCCGGAAGAGCAACATCATGTGCCGATGCCCTGAACCATCTGCAGAGAAGGACTAATGGGATCCCATGGGGCCAGGGATGGGCCAGGTGGGAACAATGGAGGCTTGGGATGGGCGAGTAGCGTGTTCTCTGCTGGAGGGACTGACCACAAGGAGGCCTGTAAAAACAGAGCGGGGCTGGGAGGCTGAAGTGAAGAAGCAGCTGCTTGCAAAAATACATACACTGATGTTCACACATTACAGCAGCCTAGGAAACGACCACTTCCCTACTCACTGAGTGAGTCATCATTTGTGTCGGGCAAGAAGAAGGGAATGCTCATTTCATTGTGTTTACTACCAGACAACATGGGGGGCTGGACAGGATGGTAAAACATCGGTCCTGGTAAAAGGCTGGTGTTTGCTAGCGAGGTTGTATTACAACTGCGCTCTGCTTTCCAAAACACCACCCTCAGGAGACAAGAAATAAAGTCATTTTTCTTCAGAGGCAGAAGATTTAACATTGCTTAACAGTAATACTTAACATCCTTAGCCCTTAGCCTTAGGCAACATCCTAACTACCAAGTGCTAGGAATTGTCTTTTTCCCCGGGCTGGCTAGGGCTCTGGCTTTACTGCAGGAAGTGACTTTTAGCCTGGCAGCAGTTTGCATGAGCCCACTTTAAAGATGGCTGAATTCCACGAAAGCAGAGCAGGGGACTCTTGACCAGGGCTACTAGCTCACTCCCTGCCTGGGGAAGTGGGGCGCAGGAGGGGTGTGTGTACATCTTCTGTGTGTCAATGGTTCCAAATTTGGCATATAAATCAGCATTACTGAGATAACTTAAAAACTCATGTGATGCTCTCCACAAACCTCATGGGAACCAAATCAGGTAGGAGCACATTTAGTCCACTATAAGGTTGGCCACCAACTTCCCACAGATAGAACTATTCCTATTTTTTTCAAAGATTTATTTTATTTATTTGAGAGAGAGAGAGAGCACAAGCAAGGGAAAGGGCAGAGGGAGAGGGAGGGAAGCAGACTCCCCGCTGAGCATGGAGCTGGGGGTGCAGGGCTCCATCCCACGACCCTGAGATCATGACCTGAGCCGAAATCAAGAGCCGGACACTTAACCGACTGAGCCACCCAGGCGCCCCTGAATTATTCCTATTTCTAATTAAAAATTTAACTCCATAAATATTGTAAAGTTCTCTGCCTCTGTGACAAAGAGGGGATGCGGGGCCTACAGAGATGCGCTCCCCTCCCTCTTCTGGCAGAGGGAGAGGGCAGTGGAGTTGCTGTGATTCAGTCTACTGAACAGTAAAATCTCCAGGGTGGGAGAGACTAGAAAGCCAGGGTAAATGTCGCTGGCACACGGAGCTGGATCAGCAGTGGGTCCCCTGCCTCTGCATTCTGCATCTTGTTGGGTAAATATGGAGCCCCTCATGGACTGGAGGCACATCGGTGAGGATGCTCTGCATCTCCCCTTGAGATGCTGAGATAGAAAATTGAGCTGGAACTGCTCCATTTGAAAACTAGTACCAGGGACCTCTCATGCATTTGTCTGAGCTCCATTTACTGTCCATCATCGTGACTTCTGGTTGCCAGGTAGCCACAAAGGTCTGTTTGCTCATGCAGCTAATCACGCCTACCACCACGCGCGTGTGTGAGTGCACTGTTGGTCAAAACTGTTTTTGGTCTGAGATGCTTCCCTTCCAGCTACAGTTATATTCTTGGGGCTGGCAGGATTTTGTCAATTCATGCATTGTGATGATAACTCCAGAGCCACAAACAGCATAAATGTATTGCCTTTGTCAGAAAACTCCCTCTGCAATGTTTAATCCTAAAATAAACTTGTTGAGAGTCAGCTATGATTGAGCATTTCAGGGCTTATTAGTACAAAATAAATAGGAGTTGGAAATTCAGAGGACTTTCTGCTAATAATTACTAAACTAAGCATTTGTTGCATTGTCATAAAAAGTTGATTTGCTGCCTCCTGTCTGAGAGAGTAGGGTCCTGAGGATGGACTGGTACCATGTCTCTGGTTTCCAGATTCTCAGGGCTTGATACAGAGTAGATGATTAATAGATATATGGGAAATGAATGAGTGAAATTTATAGAGTTTTCAATGTTATTTCTGTGCTTTTGATTTGTACCAAAAAAAAAAAAAATCCATTTCTGCAGTCTGGTGCAAGTTGGCCAGGAAGATGTTAAACTGCTTACAGTTTTTTCTTTTTTTCTTCCCTCTCATAAGAACATACTACTTTCCATCTGCCTTAACCACAATTTCCATACACTTCAACATTGAGAGCCAGAAATGTTATATTTAAAGCAAATTTTGGAGATGACTTCCATTTTTTTAAAATGAAAACAAAATACTAGGCCAGAGAAAAATAAAGAGAGGAAAGAAATCAAGAATGAGAAAAGACTATGAGACAACATACAAAAAAAGAGAACAGGGAGAGAAATAATATACAGTTGTATAGAGGCTTTTAAAATATTGTTAGAGTATCCCACCCAATCAGTGTTAACAATTGGTTCTCCACTAGATTTGAGATTTTATTACTTTTGAAAATCAACATACTATTTGTAAGAGCAGATGGTCACTTAGGCTATGCCTGTTGCAAGATCCAGGATGGTATTTTTGTAAATTCACACACAGAATTATAGCCAATGTGAAACTCAACACAGTAACTCCCTCTGGGATAACACTTCAACAATTCCACTTTGATGAAAAAGCTCTATTTAAGATCCTCACCCCTCTTTTTAAAAGGAGATATTCTGTAACATTTCAGTTTTCTGGCTGGTATTAACCTTTCTTTGTTTGTTTGGTTCCCCCCCACCCCCGAACTCACGATTTCTCACACTCCTGCTTCACTCCCATAGTAGCTGCACTAGACATAATCTTGGAAAGTTTTCCTCTTTGTCACGGGCTACTGATAGCAGACCCAAATTATTCTTCATCTCAGAGATAAGAGCACAGGCCTTTGAGAATTGTATCTCATTTTCAGGGGTGTCTAGTTACAGTGTAAGTGGATCGTGTTGGGCCAGAATCACCAAGCGAACTTTTCCCACGCGATTATTTCCTTCCCCCACTGTGTCTGCACCTTTCAGCAATATTTGCTGACTGCCTAGCCAACCCGGTCACATTCTAAATCAAGCAAAGAACATCTTCCCAGGTTCACATTTCTCTCCAGCTTTTTAACACCCACATGAAGCTCCAAGGTTAAGGCTGGCTCACCCTTCCTTGGAGGTAACTGCTAGGACAGAGGATTTACTATTTTATTGTCCTTCAGCTTGGTGCAGGATGTTCAATACTATTTTTATAGCAATGGCTTAGGATTTCGATTCTGTATACAATATTCTTGCTGGCATGTTCAATTGCAATGATATACTATTTTCTTCCCTTAAAAAATAACCCACAACTGTTCCAATTATTAGCACAGTTGTGAAGATGGCAGGAGGGTTGTCACAGACGGCAGTGGGGAAAATTATGTCATATTCCCCAATTCAAAGCCAGATTTCTATTTCATGTAGATTTCTCTAAAGACATTATTTGTAGGTAAGCTGGTGATAGGAGACCCCTGAGTGATCTACCTGGGTAAGGATGCGTACTGTCTCTCCATCCCCTCAAAGCGGACGTTGTGTGCGTTCCCATCTGGACCCTTTCCAGACACCTGTGGAGAGAAAAGTAATTAGAGATGAAGATCCATTATACACCCTGGTTACTGACAATGCATTGCAAAGTTATAATCAGCTGCTACTGCCTGCCAAAAATCAACCATGGAAAAGCAAGCAAGATTTCACTATTGCTATAGGAACTGATAATCAAGCCACAAACATGGCATTTCACAACAAAGTCACTTCTTTCAGAAAGGGTCATTGTCAAGCTGACCCCTTCCTGTCACCAAGCCAGGGAGATTCTATAGGCTATAAGACCATTTTTTTTTTCTTTTCCATATGCTTTAGTTTTTAGAACAGTTTGAGACTTACAGAAAAACTGAGAAATAGTACAGAGTTCCTGGAACTCAATTTCCCTATTCCTAACATCTCACGTAAGTGTGGTACATTTTTTACAATTAATGAATCAATATTGATACATTATTGTTAACTAGAGCCCACAGTTGATTTGGATTTTTACCCAACCCCTTTCCTGTTCCAGAATTCCCTATTACATTTAGTCATCATGTCTCTTTAGGCTCCTTTTGGCTGTGACAAGGACAGTGTTTTTGTTTTTGTTTTTTTTCCTAATATTTTATTTATTTGTTTGAGAGAGAGAGAGAGAGAGAGAGAACACAAATAGGAGAGCAACACAAAAAGGAGAAGCAGACTCTGAGCAGGGAGTCTGACACAGGGCTCCATCCCAGGATGCTAGGATCAAAACCTGAGCCAAAGGCAGTCACCCAACTGACTAAGCCACCCAGGTGTCCCAGGACCATATTTTTTAAAAAGTACCTTTTCCATGAAAACGTTCTTTACTAACAGACAAACAACTGTTTACTCCGCAGTTTCCATGAAGCCCTCCCTCACCCAAAACTTGCTTAGTTCTGTCCCTTAGGAACTACCACAGAGAAGTGATTGCCTCTTTTCTAACTAGGGTTGATCTTTAGTATTTTTTTCCCTTCCTTTGTACTTCCTGTGTTCACCTCTCTTCCGGTCTCCTCCATCAGCCTCTGAGACTCTGAAGAGCAGTGCCTGGCCCCAGTATGTTCTCAATAAAGTGTGCTAGTTCTGTGAATGTAAAGATTTTATACATAGTCCTTCTGCATCTACCATAGCAATCAAAAACAGGATGAACACATCCAGGTATTTAAAAGTACTTGTTGACTTGTCAATTCATCACCTGTTCATGTCAACACGTGTGGTTTTGTGGATCGCTTATGTGCTGGCTCTTATGCTGGGCTAGCCCTCACGGAATGGGCATGGAAAGGGTAAACAGAACACCTGGACCATTATAAGAAGGAAGAGAAAGTTTGCTAGTAAGCACAGGAAGAACCGGTGTCAAGTCAGTAGGGGAAATTTTTCTAGGTAGTATTCAACTTGCAAGTTATTTTCTTCCTGCCAAAGGTTCCAGCTCTCTATGAAACCACCATCCCAGCTTGGGTGGTGTGTGTAGGGAGGGTTTATTGTGAGAGGCGTTACAAAACAAGTATACACACCCATTTAGAGTAAGAAAGACTATTTCCAGTGTCAGATTATTAGAGGAGGCTCTTCAGAGTGTGTCCTGCAAAACCTCTTTATATTTCACCAATACATGGAACAGGAATGACCGGAATTATTTGAGAGGGCAAGAGTCCAGTGAATTACTGAGGTAAGGATGAAGATTGGCACATACAAACTTAGAAGCAACTGCAGGGAGACTGAGAATTCTCTGTATTAGGATAAAAGCCCTGATTTAAACCACTAACCTTTCTAACAAAGATCAGAGACAAGGATGGTATCAGACAAACAGGGGATAAAGAAATGTCACAGAAAAAGAAGGGAAGGATAGAGCTCCTGTCCTCAACCACTTCTATCTAAGCTTTGTTTTGTTTTTAACCTATTGGTTATGGAAGAAGAATTAGCATGAATACCAAGACTATGCTGACGATCACTTCATTGTGATTGTTGGGCATTATGCGTATGTATCCCTAGTATGGCTCTAGACATTTACAAGTAATCTTTTCCTGGTGGCCACAAAACTCCAAGTTAATACTTCCAGCACTGTTAGGTAGAACTGGCCTGGCCCAATGGTGGCCGTCCACATTCTGGTGTCTCTAGGAGGCAGCACCCCGGTGCCTCTTCTTTCTGGTGAGCTACCAGCATAAGAGATTATATGAAATGTAGGATGATCCCTATCTTAGGGAAGTTTTAGTGCTGTTGGGAAAACAAGCATCAGAAATGAAATAATTAAAGAATGATGTAGGACAACGTATGATCCCATGCCATTCAGGATGTTACTAACAGTAGTACAGGTGACACCGGGAGGTGTCAGGAAAAACTTCATGGAAGTAGCAGAACATAGACCAAAGATGGGTGGCCTGCTTCTATATCAAAACTTATTCTCTTCTTCACAAACTGTGTAGATATTTAATTATTATATTTATATTGTGCATATATCATGCTTCTCTATTAACATGACATCTTTAATGCAATCATGGACTTAGTGATTACTGAGCACCTATGGTATCCCAATGCCATGCTAGGCATATATTTAAAGGAATGAACAAGGGCTGGATTTCTTCATCGCGTTGAATATAGAGGAGACAGGCCTGCAAACAATTACGGTACAATGAGATCACTGCTAGAGTGTCAGCATGAGAGAGGAGGCGGTAGGAGTCTGAAGAAACAGATACCAAAGTCCACCTGGCAGAGTTGAAGACAGCTTCATATGGGTGTTGAAGCTTCATCGAAAACTTGAATATGAATGAGGAGAAGTTTTTGGGGGAAGAAGGTGTAGGAGTAGCAGGAGAAGGCATTCTAAGTAGAAAGAACAAAAATGAAACAATATGGAGGCATTTAAAAAAAGAAAAGCACTGTGTTTTCAGGGAAAGTCAAGATTTTGGTAAAGGAAGAAACAGAGCCTATTAAGGAAAAGGATACTAATAATAACACCGCCACTACTATTATGGCTATAGCCATTATTGCCACTATGGCAACTTTTTTCTTAATGGGCTTTGATTTTTTAGAGCACTTCTAGGTTCACAGCAAAGCAGAGGAAGGTACAGAGAGTTCCTATCCCACTGCCCCACACACTCTGCCATTATCACCAACCCCCAACATGTGCTATATTTGTTACAACTGATGAACTTACACTAACACATCATCACTCAAAGTCCAGAGTTTACATTAGGACTCACTATTGGGGATGTACATTCTATTGTGTTTGAACAAATGTATGACATGTATCCATCATTATAGTATCATTTCCATTGCCCTAAAAATTCCTTATGCTCTGCCTACTCATTCCTCCCTCTCTCCAAACCCATGGCAACCACTGGTCTTTTTACTGTTTCCATAGTTTTGCCTTTTCCAGAATGTCATGTAGTTGGAATCTTACAGTCTGTAGCCTTTTTTATACTGTCTTATTTCACTTAGTAGTATGTATTTAAGTACCATCCATGTCTTTTCAAGCTTGACAACTCATTTCTTTTTAGTGGTGAATAATATTGCATTGTCCAGATATACCACTTTATCAATTCATCTACTGAAGGACATCTTGGTGGCTTCCAAATTTTAGCAATAATAAAGCTACTATAAACATTGTGTGCAGATTTTTGTGTGAAGATAAGTTTTCAATGAATGCCCTTATGTAAATACAAAATAGTACAGGTGCTGGGTTGTATGGTCAGAGTATGAAACTGCTGAACTATCTTCCAAAGCAAAATGGTACCATTTTGCATTCCCTCTAGTGATGAATGAGAGTTCGTGTTCCTCCACATCCTCACCAGCATTTGGGGTTGTCAGTGTTCCAGATTTTGGCCATTCTAATGGGTGTGTGGTGATATCTTATTGTTGTTTTAATTTACATTTTCCTGATGACCTATGATGTGGAGCATCTTTTCATAGGCTTATTTGCTATCTGTATATCTTCTTTGTTGGGGTGTCTGTTAAGGTATCTTTGGTCCATATTTTAATTGGTTTGTTTCTTTTCTTATTATGGGGTTTTAAGAGTTCTTTGTAGTTTTCAGTAACAGTCTTTTATCATATCATATGTGTCTTTTGCAAACATTTTTTTTCCAGTCTGTGGCTTATCTTTTTATTCTCTTGACAGTATTTATTGCAGAGCAGAACTTTTTAATTTTAATGAAGTCCAGGTTACCAATTCTTTCTTTCATGGATCTTGCCTTTGGTGTCACATCTAAAAAAGTCATTACCAAAACCAAGATCATCTAGTTTTATTTTCTATGTTATCTTCTAGTAGTTTTATAGTTCTGCATTTTAAATTTGGGTCAGTGATTCATGTTGATTTTTGTAAAGGGTGTAAGGTCCATGTCTAGATTCATTTTTTTTTAAAAGATTTTATTTATTTATTTGACAGAGACACAGTGAGAGAGGGAACACAAGCAGGGGGAGCGGGAGAGGGAGAAGCAGGCTTCCTGCTGAGCAGGGAGCCTGATGCGGGGCTCAATCCCAGGACCCCGGGATCATGACCTGAGCCAAAGGCAGACGCTTAACGACGGAGCCACCCGGGTGCCCCTAGATTCATTTTTTTTTACATGTTGGATGTCCAGTTGTTCCAGCACCATTTGAAAAGACTATCTTTGCTCCATTGTATCATCTTTATACCTTTGTCAGACACAAAAATAAATATTTACTTGGGTTTATTTCTGTGCTCTCTATTCTGTTTCATTGATCTATTTGTCTATTCTTTCACCAATACCACACTGTCTTGATTACTATAGCTCTATAATAAGTCTTGAAGTTGGGTAGTGTTAGCCCTCCAACTTTGTACTCCTTCAATATTATGTTGGCTATTCTAGGTCTTTTGCTTCACCATATAAACTTCAGAATCAGTTTGTTAAGATTCTTTAGAATCAAGAAAATAACTTGCTAAGATTTTGGCAGGCAGCACATTGAATCTATAGATCAAGTTGGTAAGAACTGACATCTTGATAATATTAAGTCTTCTTATCCATGAACATGAACTATCCATCCATTTATTTGGTTTTTCTTTGATCATTACTACAATTTAACA